GGTGAGGGCTGAGGTAGGTCCGGTGGTGTGGGACATGGCTGATGGGTTTGGCATAGTGTAATAATTTAAATATTTACACTCTATGGTCACTAGAATGATGGTCAATGGAACGGTAGTAACTGGCACGATGATCACTAGAGCGGTAGTAATTGGATGGTGGTCAGTAGAGCGATAGTAATTGGGACAATGGTCAGTGGAGTGGTAATAACTGGAATAATTTGTACACAAACTTTGGTGTAATAATTTACATATTTAAGACTTATGTTTCCATATATCTAAATACGTATTTTGAAAAAGGTGTTATGCCTTGAATATTACTAAATGAAGTGTGATTTCCTAAAATGTGACCACTTTTATATTTAGACAAAAATGTGACTAAAAAAGTCCTATTCATGTCATTACCAGATTTTAATGTCACTGATCAAATTTGATGTCACTATCTAATATCGTTGTCGCCACCACCGGTGTCTCTGTAGCCACCGCCCGTATCACTGTGACCACCACACGTGTCACTATGGCCACCGCCCGTGTCACTATGGCCATCGCCCGTGTCACGTGACCACCGCCCGTGTCACTGTAGCCACCACCCGTGTCACTATAGACACCTCCTGTGTCACTGTGACCACCGCCCGTGTCACTGTGACCACCGCCCGTGTGACTACGATTGTTATCGTTTAGTGACACGGCCCACATTAGTCACCAACCACCACCACATCTGGCTGCCACAACAGCGGCTGTCCTGCAACACCCCGCTAGCCCTACCCTACCCTGAACAGTGACAAACCGGACCAACGACCGTACCAATCTGACTAGTGACGAACCTGACCAATGATCGTGACCGACCCAACCAATGACCAACCTGACCAATGACGCAATCTGGCCAGCACGAACCGGCCAGTGGCCTTGACCACCTAGGCGGTGACATCTGCCGCTCTCCAGCACTAAGCCCACCCCAACCCCCAACCCCTGTTCCAGCTCCTCCCCCCTTCCCGGCCAGCACGATCGACCCCCCCCGCCCCGGCGCACAACTCAATCCAATCCTCAGCCCCTCCCGTGCCCCCCCTTTCTAGACAATGGCTAAGGCACGATACAAACAATCCTTGATAAAGTGGAGCACTAGCGCCATTCTAACAATCCTCGCCGACCTGCGCTCAAGCCAGAGCCGTCATGATCTAGCCGCACAACCGCTCCAAGTAGATATGTAACTGCACCGTCCTTCGATTCCGGCGGCTCTCAAACAGAAATAGAAGGAGAAGAACAGGTTTCGAACCTAGCCCGTACAAATTAGACAAGAACAACGGTGCCATGGTTGAACAGAGCCGCTGGACGTCCTCACCATCGCCGCTCCCCATCGCCCCTCGCCATCACTGCTCTCCGTCGTTCTACGTCGCCGCTTGCCATCGCTGCTCCCTCCTCGTAACTCGACTTTCTTGCTCGCAGTAGCAGATACGAGAATGAAATGGCATGACAGACAGGGGCTGGAGGGGTGAAGAACGAATCTGACTAGTGATGGAGGTGCGGATGTGGCTTGCCGCGATGGAGGTGCAGCTCTGGTTGATAGAGATGGAGGTGCGGCTATTTTGTGCGCAAATGGAGAAGGGACTATCTTGCGTAGATCTCAAATGGACAGATCTCCAATTGCGCAAAGTTGTGCGGAGAGGAAACGTGGTGGGAGACAGACTCACGTATAACCGATTACTTTTTTGAAAAAAAACAAAATGGTCATATATTTGTCTTTCAAAACCTCACAACTAATACTTTTGTCATTCTTTCTTTGAAAAATATAGAGTAACATTAAAATAAAAAGAAAATTAATTTGTTGAGATTGGAATGGTATGTAATTATACGAGGTAGTATTTGTATGTCATATTTTTCGGAAACTACAAACAAATGTCATTTTTTTGTCCATTAACTCTTTTTTAGTAATATTGATGTCAAAACCCTTTTAATGATATACTATATCTCTTTTCTTATATGTAAATATAGAATAATTTATTTCTCTAACTTTGTTAGTTTTAGTCTTTAGACTGGAAATAACTATATAATTAGTTAGATCATGTATTTTTATATACTATTATATTTTCACTTTGTTTCAAATTCTTTACATGTAAAAAATATTTTAAATTTAAATATGATCCCTCCGATTCTTTCTCCTCCGAAATTCTTTACAAAATGCTACTTTTGTTTGAAATTCGCTTTACATAATTACATAGGACGTATATACTCCATCCGTCCCAATTTGATTTGAAAAATTTCCTATTTTGGTTGTCCCAAAATGGTTTTCCACTTTCTATTTTAGGTATGTAAATAAGAATAGAGTAACAAATTTACTCTTTTACTTTTTCTCATTAACTTTAAGACATCTATTTTTAGAAAGATAGATAAAAATGTAAAAAACAAACATAATTTATTGTCATTCCTTAATCCTTCTGTCGATCAAAGTTTACAATTCAATTCGGGATGAGAGAATATTTATTTTCTTTAGGCCAACGTAACCTATCATCTTCCCCGATTATATAAGTGTTGCCCTCTCGGCTTCCCATATCATTAGTAAAAGTGAAAATTGCCCTTTCGATCCAATATTTTAAATTTAAATATTTGAAGATGCTCGGTGGAATCGACTTACTTGAGCCTGGAAATTAAAAGTCTGAAACTTAAACTTATTACTCAAGTTTGACTAACACAGGATATTTAAAGGTTCATTGTGTAATACATTTAGGGGGAGTTGTAGATTTATTAGTTTCTAATTAGACTCACCTTACTACCAATTTCCATACTATATCAAATAAGAGTTAAGTAGCTCAGACCACACTAAACAAAATTAAACAGGTCATAGGCTAGATCAGTTCATATTAGAACATTGGGGAAATTTACAATATTCATCCTGTAACTTTCGGCCGTTATCATTATTAGTCCCGTAACTTTAGTCACTTGCAAATTTGGTCCTCTAACTAATTAATATTTGCGATTTAAGGACTTTTCCCCTGAAAAGTACACTTTCCGGCAATAGCATACCGGAAAAGATGTCGCCGGTGTCAAACTTTTCCGCCGGAAAGTGTACTTTCCGGTGAGAAAGTCCTTAAATTACAAAAATTTATTAGTTACAAAACCAAATTGCTAGTGTTCAAAGTTACGGGACCAAAAACGATAACAACCGAAAGTTACAGGAATAAAATTGCAAATCTCCCTAGAACATTGCATGCAGTCCAATTAAACACATCTTTATTACTTTTTAGTAAATCAGTTTTATGAAATAACGATAAGTACACAAAATTAAAGTTGTGCACAAAATTGGGATCATTTTAAGAATAAAGACTATTTGGACCGTGAAGTGACTATGATGGCACTTGGTGACTATTTGAATGAGAGACGGATACCGGTGGGCGTAGCTAATCGGTAGGAAGGGACTGCCACAAGGGTTAGGTCTCGGGTTCGAATCCCGGCAACTGCGATGAGGGGTTACTATGCTAAAAATTGCATAGGGCATCTGCAAGTATCGGGGACAGAGCCCCACTCTCTATCTGTCAGATTGGGATTATAGTCCAACTTACATCCTCCCAACTTACCGTCCGGTCGAGGTTGGGGGGCCCTCAGGGATGGGGTGTCATCCTTTTTTTTTTTGAATGAGAGACGGATTTACGGGATATTTGAGCTCCCACTCCCAAAATATGGGAGTTAGAATTAGGTTTCAGTTTTACGGGAAACGTGGGTAGCGAATCCAAAAAACGTAGGGCGACAGGAAAAATACAGCCCTCCAAATTGTGGATTTGGGAAATCCAAAATATGCAATCCAAAAAAAAGGATTCAATGTACTTCCATCCTACATTTTGGAATCAATGAATCCATAAGTTTATTTTGTTGATTAAAACCTAAATTCTTGCCCGTTCTACCATTTTGTGATATTTGAAAACCCTCTAATTTTAGTGTGTCATTCTTGCGTGAGTAAATTTGTCGAAATTAATGACTATAGTACAAAAATATACGTATACTATTATATCCGCAAGAGTAATCCGTACCGAATACTTCCTCCGTATTTTAAAGTTTAGTACATTTTCTTTTGTGAATATATTTAAAAGTTTGCTACATTTTCTCATCTTGATAAGTTTTTCCTTTAAAAATACTCAATCATCCTTAGTTTTTCATAGTTTTTATCTTTTGTTTATACGTTTCCACCTCTCTTACCTTTTTTACACTATTCATTATCCCTACCATGTCACCATTTAATGTTGTGCCCAAACCTATTGTACACAACTTTCAAATACCGATGGAGTAAGATTTCACCTTTCATTTGAAAAAACTTACTATAACATTAGTACAATTTCTTAATTGCGTGACATTATTTGCAAGTAAAAATAATAATGAGACGAATAAGGAAAACAAACATAAGTGACAATTAATTAAGCAAACTCCGTTAATATCAGTCCACTCTAATTAAATATTTCAGCACAAACTCTCACACTGCGTTATAAAAAACTGAAATGTGTCGAATAGACTTTGAAAGTTTGAATCAATCCGCCCACTTAGCTCACTATTTGACTTTATAATACACATTACACATTAGTGCATGTACCTGCCATGACGCAAATGTGTTAAGAAACTGCTTCCTCCTTTTTAAATTGCAAATGACCATCCTTCACGCTTGACAACGCACAATTTTGATCCTTTCAGTAAAAAAATTTTAAAAAATATATTTTGAAAATTTAAAATGATATGAATTTCAAAATATTTTTTAAAAATTTAATTTAAAATACATTAATAAATAAAATATAGTTAAAGCAGAATATATGAATAGTGCAAAATGTCCAATATTACAATTAAAAGAGAACAGATGCAGTAAAATAAAATGGAATGCAATTAATTATGAGGGATACAAACTACAAACAACCATTTTGTAATATTAAAAGAAGAGGGGGAAAAGAGGGAAAAATTTCACCCTTCCGGGGCACAGCCCTATTTAATCTGTCACAGCCACTTTCATTAGAATAATCAAACACTTACGTCCACACCAATCGGTGCCCTCTTCATTAATACTCCTCTGAGTAGTTTTAGGGGAGAAGAAGGAAAAAAAACCTATCCTTTTGGCGACCATCTACCCATCATAGAAAACATCAACAGATATATGAATAAGTTAGTACTGATGATGGAAAACAAACAGACAATCTGATCAGAGCAACTTCAGTGGGTAGCTGTAAATCTCTCTCTCTCTCTCTGTAAGTGTTCTTTAATTTGTTTAAGATATATGAATCTATCAGAGGGCTCTGATGAAAGAAGATTCTAATATAAGCCCAGGCATGAGCATCTTTCAATGTTCTCTTTGTTTCTCCTGCAGGCTGATTGTACTTTTGACTCTACTCTACAAGCCAAGTAAATTTCAAAGGGTATGTATGGGTCTGTACTTTTTTATTTCTCTTCTGGTCCTTTCATTTTCTACTAATTACTTGCCTCTTTGTTGCAATGTTAATAGAGAGATTTGCCGTTTTCTATCCCGTAAGTTCGTAACTTTCGACCGTTTTCATTATTAGTCTCGTAATTATAGTCACTCTAAATAAATTTGGCCCTATTGCTAATGAATCTTTGCAATTTAGGGATTTCCCCAAAAAACTACACTTTTTGACATTATACCAGAAAACATGTCGTCGGTGTTAGATTTTTCTACCGGAAAGTATAGATTCTAGGTGCAAAAGTCCGTAAATTACAAAATTTATCAATTAAAGTGAGTAAAATTACAACATCAATAACAATAACCGGCTGAAAGTTATACAACTAAAAATATGAATGTCCCTTGCTAATATTATTATATTATTATTATTTCGAGAAATTGGGCTTGATTAATAGATTCTGAAAAAGTAAGTTAAAGTCTTGCATTTTTTTTGCATTTATATTAAAGCTTTTGTCATATTTGGGGTGCACCCGTGCCAAGCATATAGCCATACATATTGAATTTGTGTCCCTCAAAAAGTTTTGGTTTTTACACATATTTTTGAATATATTCCTTTGAATTTTTAACTACTTCCTTTGTCCCGTTAAGATGGTCCGATTTTTTCTTTTTTTTTTGTCTGTCCCATTAAGATTGTTGATGATTCATCGATGATTTCGTGCCAAATAGCTTTTGACAAAATGCTGTTGGCACGAATTTGGCATATCCGTGCTAAATCCTGTATGATTTTTGGCAAATCTCTGTCCAAAATATATGTCAATCCCGTTAAATCCTGGAAATTGACTAAAATATTAAGAGACACATTTTCTCAAATTTCCTAAAATGGGATCGATATCACTCCCCCTAAAATGACTCATTTACTCCCAAGAAGAGATTGTACTTTTGTTCATTTATTAAGACTAAATTAAACGTTATTTTAAACTTAATCTTTGTTGAGAAAAATCACTGAAGCGGAGTAATGCATAACATGATTCTTTAAATATTATTAGTTTCATGTATGGTTTTCTTCTCAAAATAGGTAGTTTATATGATTTATTCGCTCCTAATTTGAAAAGTTTATGCTATTTAATTTTATTTTGAGAATAAAACATAATCTCGCTCATTTTTGCAAATTCTTCGTATTTTAATTCTCTTTTGGGCAATTTCTATTTTCAAACGTGTAAAAGTAGTCATTGCAGTCGTCTCTCACAAGAACCTCCTATATACTTATATAGAGACACGTAATCCTTGATCCCTAAAATAATTTTAATTGGATGTTCCTAATTACATGAAGATCTTAATTATATAGAAGTATGTGTGTATAATATATATCTGTATATGAAGATATAGGTATCATTTACCATGACTCCATCAAATAAAAACTGGCCGAGCATGTTCAAGGCAAAGGGTGGCAGCAAGAAGGGTAATAACAATCAATGGATGGCTTCAGACAAGAATTCCTCAAGAGCTTCATCTTCATCATCCGCTAAGTTTGAGGAGAGGACGCCGGAGTTGAAGGAGAGATGGAACCCCCGGCCGGAGCAGATTCGGATCCTGGAAGCCGTTTTCAACTCCGGCATTGTCACTCCCATGAGGGAAGACATCGTTAGAATCAGAACCAGAATCGAAGAGTACGGCAAAGTCGCTGATTCCAGTGTCTTTTACTGGTTTCAGAACCGCAAGTCCCGAAGCAAGAACAAGCAGCGAAAGCTCCGGTCAGCCGAGGCTCCGCAGCCCCCGCCCCCGCACCCGTCCCCGCCGCAGAGAAACCTTCCCCACCCTCCTCCGACCACTCTTGTGGCTCCAACCGTTACCATACTTTCCTCTTCCTCCTCGTCCTCGTCCTCCTCTAATTCTGGATCGAACTTTAACAACAACAATATTAATACTAATATTGGCAATGGCTCATCCTTTTACCAAACTCCTATGAACAGCGAGTTTCATACCGAACCGCTGCCCCCGCCACTGCCACTGTTGTACCCTAGTGTGCCGCTTCCGGTCGGTACGACTTCGGCCTCGGAGAATTTCAATCAAGGGTTTTGTTTCAAGGAAGCTGTGGATGTTTCTCAAGCTTCTTATTCTGATCTCCTCACTATTGGGAACTCTTCTGCCGGTTTGATGCCTACTTACGTCAACAACGGCGTAGCTCTCAATATCGACCCTAATCAACATTTTGCTCCTTCTTTTGCTCCCCCTTTTCAAGGTATGTTTGTTTTGTGAAACTGATGATTAAATTAGTGTATGGGAAAATGGGATTGTTGGATGATGATGTGATGTTTATGTTTCTTTGAACTTTAAAGGTGAAATGAAAGCGACGGTGATCGTAAACGGTATGGCGTATGAGGTGCCGACCGGAATCTTCAACATCCCGGAGACGTTCGGTGACGGAGCGGTTCTGCTTCATTATCCTTCCGGCGAGCCGGTGGTCACTAATGAATGGGGATTTACTTTGGATCTGTTAGAGCCCGGAGCTTTCTACTACTTGTTCCGCACCTCATCTTAGGTCAACATGGATCAAAGGTTCTTCCTTTTACTTATTTGATAGCCCCATCCCAATTTGATTTGTAAAAGTTTACTAACACAAAAGTTAAATAACATAGTAAATCAAGTTTGGCTTTAGTATTTTTCTCTCTCACATAAACTAGACGCATTTAAATATTGAGTGAATGAGAAGTAGATTTTATGGTACACATAAGCTAGCATAGTTTTGCTTACATGGAACAATCAGAATGTTGCAGGTGCATTATTTAATCTAAAATCAAATTAAAATGATATGATGATTTGGACCAATCAAGTGAATGATACGTACAATATCCCATTTTTAAAATGAGTACCAGAGTTATCACCGAATGAGAAAGGGTAAAAGTAAGGATAATTGTGCCACTTTATTCTATTAAAATATTTGTCCAACACCGGAGTGATTTAAAACAATAAGATACTATATAAATTTCTAGGCTACTCATCCTTTCATTTGAATTAAATCTTGCACTCCTCCCCCTATCAACCGCTTCAGTTAGAAGCCTAAGGTTTAGCATGAACAGGGGCGGAGTCAAGACACTAGGCCAACTGGATGGTACAAAGAGTTTTTTTGAAAAAAAATTACACGGAATTTTTTACTCTAAGAATATAGACATTATTAAAATTTGGGTTGACCCCTCACTATGCCCTGAACATGGTATTAGAGCTGGCCACATGCAATTGTGGTTTCATTGTTGTTTAGTACTCATCATTGATTAAGAGTAATTCAACCTATTTATACATGTCGAAGTTGTCACACCTGTATTGCACCGAAGGGGTGTATTGTGTATATTACATTAAAAAAAAATTACACGGAATTTTTTACTCTAAGAATATGTTGTATATATTACATTGAAATTACATGAATATGTTAAACGTGACTCCTTTTCACTTTAGGATGGAACCCAAGAATTCAACAATTTCATCTTTCCACACCTAAAATAGAAATTGAAAAATTATTTTCGGGTTGACAAAACAAGATTTTTTTTCAATTTAATTGGGATGGAGGGAGTAGTTGTTTTATTGTTTAGGGTTAGTGACTATAAGTTGATTACTTGTGTAATACGAAGTATTTATTTAAATCAATCCTGTTTATCTTATAATTAATCTAATTCCTGTGAGTTTTATTGTTCAGATTCAGAAGATAGATGGGGCGATGTTCAGTCGGCTGGGGACGGGATGGAATGTGTTGCAGTTATATGGCTCTTGTTCTTCAATTGAAATTCCTTTTATTTTCCGAATTTTAAACATTCCCATCATTTAGATCTTATTCCCTTTAATTAATTAATTAATTAATTATTTGTTGTATTTTAGAAAAAAGAACTTTATTGAGTGGTTTGTCAAAGTAGTTATTTTCTGTGTAGGATGGTGGAGAGTATGTATGTATGCCACATCTGGTGTCCATATGATATGTATCATTAGATGATAATATATTAATGATATATGTAGCTAATTTAAGGCTCAGTTCATGGACTCCTATGTAATATGCTCTTTTCATGAGTTACTATTATTCAAAAGTTATATGCTTAGCTTCTTTTATTGTTGAGGTTGTTTTTTTACCTGATCCTCATTAAATAGTTCTTCATTCTAATCATGTCAATCTTTTGGGTTGAACTTATATGATGAAACGGTTAGTAACACAAGGGGGAGGTGTGAATTGTGTTTGAGTGGAACCGTGAAAGCTAAGTTTCTGACAAGTTCTAGTCTAGGGAATAGGGCAAGACAAATTAAGTAATTGCACACGGATTTAATGATGAAAAATCCCTAAGCTCAAAGGAATTAAAAAACTTCGACCTCCCTCGCAAGAATTTGAAATAACTTCATTAAAAGCCTTTGAATGATTACAAAAGAAACTCTCCTAGTCTACCCTTGAGCCACGCCAACTATATCCTCTCTAAGAAGAGTTATGCTTCTCTACCTTGCAAGTAGGGAGTCTCTCGGATTTATAACAAAGCTTCCTCACAACACACGTACCAATTATGCAACCCGAGGATGCTAACAGTTAGCCAATCCTTAAAACCCCCATTACAAAGAGAAAAAGGGAAAGAACGAACTACATCTAGAACTCTACGTGAGCAGTTTTAGGTGTCTTGAACTTCAGTATTTCTTCTGTGAATATGTCTCTCGATTTATGCATGTCTTCGTCAAGCACACCTTTCTTCTTCTTGATCTCGGCATATATAAGCTGCTTAGAGTAGATCCGTTGAGGCTTTCTTTCCTTGGATGGCCGAGTTACCAAATGTGGGACTTGCCTTGTTATAATTTGAATGTCCTTCCTTTTGATGAAGATTCTTCCTTTTAAGTGCAACAGACTCATTCATATATGGAACATATTTCAAACAAAGATGATTTTACAAAAATAGACACCAACGCATATATAGCAAGGGAGTAAATTATTCACTTAACAAATATAAGTATGCTGTGATCTTTTCTTTTGTCACGCAATGTAACGACCGTCCCCAAAACGGCCATTACGATACTCAAATATAGAGGAGTACAAGGAGGCTCGAAGAAGAGCAAAGAAAGTTGTGAAGGAAGCTAGAGGAAAAGTGAACAAGGAATTATATGTAAAATTGGACTCTAAAGAAGGAGAAAAAGATATATACAGACTTGCTCGTCTTCGTGATCGTAGGACTCAGGATATCGGAAAAGTTAAGTGTGTCAAGGATGTCGATCAAAGGGTACTAATGGAGGACAAAGAAATTAAAGAGAGGAGGAGGTCATACTTTGATACCTTGTTCAACACGAATAAAGTGCAATGTATTGATGATCTTACTATACCAGAGTGTATGGTAAATCGAGACTTCGTGAGAAGGATTCAAACAACAGAAGTTAAAGAGGCTATGAGAAAAATGGGGAGGAAGAAAGCAGTGGGCCAGATGGCATATCGATCGAGGCTTGGAGAAGTTTGGGAGAGAAAGGCATCGAGTGGCTAACACGTTTCTTCAATATGATTTGGAGAAAAAACAAAATGCCAGTAAGTTGGCGGAAGAGTACCCTCATTCCCTTATTTAAAAATAAGGGTGATGTACAAGAATGTGCTAACTATCGAGGGATTAAACTTATGAGTCACACCATGAAACTTTGGGAACGAGTGGTTGAGCAAACACTTCGTAAGATTGTGAAAATTTCGGAAAATCAATTTGGTTTTATGCCTGGACGCTCAACAACTGAGGCTGTTTGACGTGCACTTGTCGTGAGGTGTACTCAAAATAATTTATCAATACAACACTAATACGTAGTATAGTGAAGTAAGGTTCGTATCCACAGGGAAAGGAATACTTTTCTTTTATATAAGTAGTATCAAGGGGGGTTTAGATTTGTTTGATTTAAATATACTAAGATGAACAACCTATATGAGTTTGATTAATAGAGATGAGGACTTGGTTTTGCTTTTATCCACTTAATGAAATGTTCGTCGATCCCGGTTATATCTTTAACTATCTTCCTCTCGAATACTCAATCGAGGAGTATATCCAGTTCATCGAGGGTAGTTATTAATAACGAGACGCGTTCATTAATAAAACATACTACCGAGTCAATATAGAACACGCGCCGTATATTAACACGATAGTAGCAATAAACTTGAGATGAAAACGATTGAGATTGATAACCTCAACACAAGCGGTTTATTGGTTTAATCAATATAATTAATTCCCCTTAGATTATTAATCATGAGACGCATGCATTAACAATCCAAGTTTACTACCGTTGAAGGAACCGAATTAATAACAAGCGTATTAATCGATTGATTCTAGTGATAATTAATATATGAAACAAAACTAGTTGATCCTTTAAGTAATGTTCAAAATATTAATATGAAATATGAATAGGAATTAATTAATACTCAAGGAAGAATATTAAAGAGTATGAATCCCTTTATAGTTAATATCAAGATGTTAACTAATTGTCATCTTAGTAACACTCCTCAATATTAACATAGAGGAAGAAATAACTATTACTATAACTAATGTCAAGATGTTAACTAATTGTCATCTTAGTAACACTCCCCAACATTGATATAGAAATAGTATTTAAAGGAAGAATTAATATTCAAGGAAGAAAATTAAAGAGAATAACTCACAACTTACAAATTCATTAAGCTTCAAAGTAGCAAAACCAAGATGGAAGAGTTTAGCTCCTCATTTGGAGACTAAACATGATGAAAATATAAAGAAAGAACTATTCTAGACTGAGCTTAGAAGTATATATGAATTGGTTCTCTTTGTGGGAAGGAAATGGGGGTATTTATAGGCTTTTTAGGCTTGCTGGGTCTTGTACCCGATCGGGTTGTAAGGGCACTCGATCGGGTACTTGGTTGTTTCGCGGAAGTATAGAAAACTGTGTTATACCCGATCGGGTATGTCGGCCACCCGATCGGGTATGAACACTCGATCGTGCCAAAATCTCCCCTGCATGTTGCCTTGTCCCGGATCCGATCTGATTTGATTTTTCAACAAGGTACCCGATCGGGTATAGGTCATACCCGACCGGGTACAACACCAAAAATCAGAATCTTGAGATTTTTGCACCTTCCTTCCATTTGTGCTGTTCACCAATGGTCCCTAGAGTGATCTTGGACCTGTTTGAGCTCAGTATAAACCTAATCTAAACAAATTACAAACATTTTTACAACTTAAACTATTACACCAAAAGTGTGTAATTTCCAAAGTAATAATCAATCAAAACTAATTAAAAACACAGAAATAAATATGTAATTTACATGAATGTCAACTCCCCCACACTTAGTTTCTTTACTCGACCTCGAGTAAAACCAAATGTTTATACAATGTTCATCAAAAGATCGGGGGTTTCAAAGATAGTGAGAAATAAGAAACTAAGACCACCAAGTATTGTAAATGAGTTTACAGAACAACATTTCCTTGGGTTTAAGGGTCTTCTATGCTCCTTACTTCTTTTCCTCTTCTCCTTTTCTTCTTCTTCTTCTTCTCTTCAATAGATGATGTCCTGCAAAAACAAATTTCTCTCATATCTCTCGTTTTGCCTAGGAGCCTTTTCAGGTTTTCATCCTAGCATCTCTTTTTATTTTTTCTTCCTTTCCGACTCACTCATTTTTTTAAAGCCCTTGTTGCTTAGATTGCCCGTTTTTGGGTTTTCAACCTAACTAGCATTTATTTCCTTTTTTTGGGTGTGTGTGTGTGTAGAAAGAGTACAAGAAAATAATGCTTAGTATGAGTGATGGAGTATATGGCCCAGGAACACCCGGCCCACAGACTCCTACCACTCCAGTAAAGGCCCAACAGGCCCAGAAGGCCCAACAGGCCCAAATCACAGCGCCCAGAGTACCAAGCAGCCCGCAAGGCGCACCAGGGGTGCCTTCGGCCCCCTGGCCGAAGGCTCTAAACTCTCACAGAACGGGTTTCTCAAGCAAACCAAGAAACTGGGAAAAACGGCAGAAAACAGTAGCCCTCGGCACCTGGAGCCCTCGGCACCTAGGGGTCCCCGGAACTCAGAGCCCTCGGCTAGTCCTCTACAGCCGAGGGCACCCTGCCCGACATGATATTCACACCACATGCGTACAGATCCCCGTACCCTGTACAAACGTCCCTTCCAACAGCCGCATTAAATGCGGCCACATGCGGTTGCCAGCGCCAACCGGATGAGGTGACCTCTCGGCCAATGGACGCTTGACACGTGTCCCTGCCCGGCATTTATTGCTACTATAAATAGCACCCCTTTTCCCCATTTGTAATCAAGTCATAAACGCTGCATACTTTCTGAATACACTTTCTCTCTCTACTTACTTGCTCTGACTTCTCTCTTGTTATTCCCCGCAATAACCCCCCGGATAAGCTACCCCCGGGTACACTATCCATCATTTGGTGCTCTCGTTGAGAGCTCGAACGATCAAGTAAGAAACCCTCCCCCTTCGCCAAACACTAGCCCTCTACCAAAATGGTGAGAACAACACGTGCCAACTCCAAAAACGTAGAAGACAGTAACCTGGCCCTCGGCGACGTCAACGCCCCTGAAGCCTCTCACAGGGCTTCCGAGGGCGGTGTCATCGCTGGGCTGGAACAGGCGGCTGTCGACCTACGCCTTCAGATCCAGCATAATGCCCCTGATGCCCGCCTCGGCATCGAGTCCAAGAAGAAGAACCGGAGCGATGACCAAATCAGCCCTCCGGTTCTCACCATCGACGTTCATTCGGCGCTCTCCGCCTTCATCCAGACGCTCACTCAGAACCCAGGTGCCTTCGGCACCCTGGCTCCGGCTCAACCCCAGGTTGGGGAGAACATCATACTTCCCCCTCTGCCACACCCCTTCGGAAACCCCATCCCTCGGGTTAGGAATGACGAAGGGGTAGTGGCCCAAGATACGGCCTCCCAGGAAGTTCAGTCCCGGGACCGCCACAATGACAACAGAGAAAGGCCC